ATAAAAAGTTTTGCAATCTAAAGAATCGAAAAAACCTGCTAGGTTGAATCTATAATTATTAGTTTCCTATGAGAATGTGTTTATTGACTGTAAATTTCTTTTATCAGATATGTGGAAAGCAAAATCCTTTGTTTTGATAACTTAAAAAGTAACTACAAGAAACTGATTAATTTCTATTTGAAATTGATTTCTAGTCACTTTGAAACTTTAACTCTTAAAATATATTTTGGGATTAGAGTACTTTAACAACCAGTACATTTCAGGACATATTAATCCTTACAAAAAGCCCATTTTGAATGGCACTGAAATTTGAAGGCAACAGCATATTCATTAGCTTACTCTTTTGCCATCCAAGACAGATAAAATTCATCTCATAATAAGTTTCAAAAAATTATTCAAATATATATATATATAATGATGTATTTATGTTTTTTGATAAGTAAAGGTGATAAATATCTCTGTAAGTTAAAGATCTATTTTTGGAAGTACATTCTGATCCAATTTATGAGGTGTTCTTCTAATAAGTTGTACACTCGCTTATTTGCGATAGAGATTTTCTAAATCAGACAATAACTATATGCTGCCACCCTCCACAGTTAGCACCTGAATAAAGAACAACAAAACAAGAACAGGAATAGATGATTGTTTTAACAATGGAAGGTTAACCGAGAAGTGCTTTGGGGACCTGTTAGGGAACCTGTGCTTTTTAGTATATTCCTAGATGTATGATCTGGAAAAGGTGTTAAACAATAAACAAACATATGATGACGCCAAAGTTATTCAGAATAGTTAAAAGTTGACAGCAAAGAGTTGCAGAAGTGTTTTATATTATTAAGTGACTGGACCATAAAATGACAGAAGAAATCTAATATTATCAGTGTAAAGCAAAAATTATGGAAAAAAAGTTCATATTTGTATATATATGTATCTATAGATAACAATGGGTTCTAAACTAACATTTTAAAAAAAGTATTGGGATCATTGTAGTTAATTTTATGAAAACAGCTGTTCTTAGCAGCAGTTGAAGTTGTGAGGTATTGGAAAACAGGAGAAACTATAAAAGAAAATCATAAAGCATTACTGCAATGTTTCATAATTGAATAATTCATATGTATCTTGAACGCTGAAGATCTTTCAGGTTTTGTAAACTAAAAGAAAAAAGTGCAAGTAAAAATGAAGTATAAAAAGACTTTTATATGAAGAGAGATTAAATCAACTGGGATCATTTACCTGGAAAAATAAATGATTGGAGGAAATATATGATTGCAAAAGAGAGAGAGAGAAGTGTTATTTACTATTTCCCACAATACAAAACCCCAATAAAATCAAAAGAAATATTTGAAAAAAAAATCTTGAACTGAACTGAAAGTTGGGTTTTTTTCACTCAATGCGTAAATGAGTTGTGAAACTTATTGGCAACATGCTGTGCCAATATAACTGCTTTTGCACTTATTAAGTGATATCAAACATGAGGATGCAGAAACAAATTTCAGTTCAGAAGGTACTAAGCACAGGATGTCAGAAGCTGTGAGGTTAAACTGAGTGAAGTAGTAATTTATACTTGCACCCACAATTGACCACTGTCTAACACAAGATGTTAAGACTAGAAGTCTTTTATCTTGCCCATTATCATTGCTTTTATGATGATTTCAGTCTGAGCCTTTCTTGAAATTAAGCATTTGATTGCTGCATTTTTAATATGGGCCTGTGCATGAATAAAATTAATGAACTGAAAACCATGAAATTTGGATAGCTCTATCTGAGGCATGTGTGAAAGACTTGTATCGTGATTTAGATATTGTTAATTGGATGACAATCCTAAATAGTCACAGTGTTGTAGAGAGTGATAAATAGAGCTGACAGTGAAAGGCAAGGTCCGCATAAATGATTAGCAAAATCTCTCCCTTTGACATAAAAGTACAATCTGAGTGTAAAAACTTGGTTTTCTTAATATATGCCATTTAAAAAGATGTATATGTTGCCATGGTAAATACTGTATTCTGGTTTACATTTTAAGATCATCACAGAGCTGAACACATGAGCTAGGAGATTTTGTGTTTGTAGAAGTGGTAGATTTTTTTTCCTCCCTAAAACTTGCAGAAAAGTGACAAACTTTTCAGAGTTTCCTGTGATTCCATTCAAAGTATTACTGCATGCTTGAAACATCTTTGCCTGTGTAAGTGAGAAAGATAAACTAGTATTGACTCTTGTTCTGTAAGGAAAGAGAGAAGTAAAAGACCTAAAGCATTGCTATGGCATTTATTCCATCAGTGCAGAACTGTTCCCTGTTGTGTATTTCTGGCATTGGACTAGTCTGCTTTAAAAGACAAAGAAATAAGGGGAATCCTATTCTATAGTTAAAATGAATATATCTTAAAAACTTTACTCTAGTTTATGGTACTATTTTCTTGATTTCTATCACATTTTTCCTGGAAATCTCCTTGACTGTTCATTAAGACCATACAAATTGCTGTTCTAGAGGAAAAAATAGCAACAGCTATTTTAAAAAATAAATTAAAATGCCAGTTTTACTATATTTTAAAACATAAAAAATTTCAGCAGAATCCTTGATAGTATGTCTTTACATACTTCTGAACTATTACTGTTTTAGGGTGAGTTTTAATGTGTTACCTTTCTTTACACTCCTTGTACGTAAGGGAGTCTGAAAACTCATTTTTATGGTAAGGTCACATAGTATTTATCTTATTGTTATTCAGTCTGGTTGAAGATGTACAGAGAAACCTTCATGACAATAGTATATATTCTTTTTTTTTTTTTTTAGAAGCCTTAGAGAAACAAAAAATACTGCTTGTGTTACTATATTTATATATGAAAAACTTATTGATGTATCTTCCGTAGACTGAAGAACACTAACTGGTTCTAGCCTATTGTACCTCGCTCTTTGTCATCTGCTGATCTGCCAAGAGAAAGTAGGTTTCATACATAATGAAGCCCATTTTGTGGGGGTCCCTTTTCCTATGAACAACTCAAGAAAGAATTAGATAGAAATAAATCTTTCATTATAGAATAATATAAGTCCCTGATTCCCAAAGACCCAATCTAGGAGGGACAAATCAATAAACCAGTATTTCCTCCAGCCCCACGTAAGAGAATGACAGTCGTGGTGCTTTTATAAGGTAAAACAGCAGTGGTATGTTCAGTGAACAGATCTTTCATAGGAATACTAATAAAGAAAAAAAGGAAAGAAAAGTTATGGAATGTTTTTAGGGAAGTAGGGAGGGCAGTTTAGAAAAAGAAAGGAAAAAGTACTTAAACGTATTCTTAGCTTCATCTATTGTTGAGACTTTTCAAAAACAATACTGTCTACACATTTAATAAAATTTCCTACTTGAGAAAGACAAGGAAGGGCATCTTTTAATTTTCTCCACGTGGAAAAGGTAGCAATAACTAAGCAGTTACTCATTTCTATGCATTAGTTGCTAGCCACAAAATCAGCATGCACTTTTTCTTACTCTGAACTAGCTGTTTATCTTGGGTTACTAGAAGGCCAAATATATATGTATATATATATATGCAATTTTTAGGGTCATGCAAAGAATCATGAGGTATTCTAGTGAAAAAAAGGGATAATACAGGCATTGGAAAAAATGGAGGATACTCAATGAGAAAAGAAATGGAAGTGAATATTCATTGCCAGTTATTGCAGTTGGGAGGCGTATCACACACATACAAAGAAAACCCTATGATTAAATGTGCTAAGCATAAAATGCCCTGCTGTGTTTATTTTTTTCTTCTGAGAAAGGAAGTCAATGGATTAACAGTATATGTAACTATATGTAGTTGAGAATAAAGAGTACTTATGTGGAAAAAATGTTATTATGATTAATATAAATATGAGTAAAGTTAAATAAGTGTGTTGGACATTAAAAAAAGAAAAGCTATTTCATGAGCACACAGAAAATTCAGTCTGTGCCCATCACCTCTGGTCTTTTTTACTGGACACCACTGAAAAGAGGCTGGCTCCATCCTCTTTACAACTTCCTTTTGGCTACCTATAAACACTGATAACAACCTCCCTGAGCCTTCTTTTCTGTAGGCTAAACAGCCCCTGTTCTTCCAGCCTTTGCTCATAGGAGAGATGTTCCAGTCCCTTAATCATCTTAGTGCCCCTTTATTGGACTGCAATATCTCCATATCTCTCAGTGTGTAGTGTCACCAGTGAATAAAGGGCAAGGATCACCTGCTGATGATACTTTGTCTAATGCAGCTTATTATACCATTCAGCTTCTTTCCAGCAAGGGTACATTGTTGACACATATTCAGCCTCGTGTCCATTAGGATCCATAGGTCCTTTCCTTCCAAACTGCTTTTGAAGTGGATGACTCCAGCATATGTTGGTGCATGATTTGTTCCATCCAAGGTGCAGGACTTTGAACCTCCCCTAGCTGAACTTTATGAGGTTAAGCATCAAACATTCTTTCTCTATATGTGAAAATGTAGATTTAAATAGCAGAAGAAACAAACAGTTTGAAATGCTGCCTAAAGAAAAGTGTCAAGACATGAAAAATTAACTCAGATTTATCACTATACTTCAGGAGTTAAGCAGGGCTGGTAGCATGAATACTCAATGTTAATAAAATGAATAGTAGTGAAAGTCAGTCGACCAAAGCATCAATCCTAATGGAGAGGCAGAGTTCTATGCTTAGAGAATGCTATAACTGAGAGTTATGGTCGAGAGTTGAGAGTTGAGAAGGCAAAGACAGATATAGAACATTGCAACTACATTAGTTTAAATTTCTTTCATTGCCATTACTAGTAAAAATGACACCAATAAATGGATGAGTGGTTAAACAGCAGGGCAACCTCAGTAACAATCATAACCAACTGAGGACCAGAGAGTATTTATAGTGTCACACCATAATTTAATTAACTTGAGGGCATGGAAAGCCTCAATGATTTGACCAAGCTAACTTCCTAAATACATCTTCGACATTACACTGACAAATAAGCCAAATATTCTGTGTGATTTTATTGGGCTTATGCAACTACAGTTTTTCAGCTGGGGAGTTGCAGTGGTGGCCTTTGTGAGAAGAGACCAGGGACCGGCTCCACATCACATTGAACCTCTTCCAGTCTGTTTGAAAAAGGACCCACCACTGGCAAAATCTGATCCAACCAATGACAATGGTGATGCCTCTGTGATATTATATTTAAGAAAGGGTAAAAAACACTGTGCAGGAGTGGTGAGAGAGGAGTGAGAAAATTATGAGCAGCAGCCCTGCAGACACAAGATAAGAGAAGCAGGAGGTTTAAGGAGGTGCCCAGGTACCAGAGCAGAGATTTCCCTGCAACCTGTGGAGAAGACTGTGGTGAGGCAGGCTGTCTCCCTGAAACTTGTGGAGGACCACAGTGGAGCAGATATACACACTGAAGCCTCTGGAGGACCCCATGCCACAGCAGGTACATGTGCCTTGAGAAAAGCTCCTGGAAGGAGCTGTGGCCCATGGGAGACCCAGGCTGGATCAGTCTGTTCCTAAAGGACTGTAGACTGTGGAAAGGTCTGATGCTGGGGCAGTTTGTGAAGAACTGCAGCAGATGGGAAGGACCCCTCTTAGAGAACCTAATGTCCATTCTAAACATATACACAATTTCTAAAGCAAAAAAAATCTTTTGTTAGGTACTGAGTTTAAAGTAAAAATACAAAAATATTTCTCTGATTTATCTACAGCTATTAAATTCAACTGAAGAACTAATTCTCAGCTCAGCTCATATTGTACCAGCAGTGTCAGATGCTAAGTATTTCCGAAATATAAGTATGTGGAGCAAAAAGAAAAAGGCTCAACTTCCTTAACTATGTTTTCTGGTTTTTTTTTTTAATTTTTTGTTTCATTATGAACTTAAACATTTATGGTGAAATTCAGATACCATGGGATTGAAAGCAAATTTTCCAGAGACTTCAACAGAAATTAATTATTCCACTTAATTTACATAATGATGAACAAATCTGCTTCAGGAATCACTAAAAATAATAAATAACTGTGCTCCTTCTGTGAAGTATTAAAAGAGCTTTTTTCAACTGTTCAATGATTTATGAGGGAGTGGATAGTATCTGGCCTTTCTTATTTGAAAAAAAAAAAACCAAACTGAAAAAACCAAACCAGTTCCACCAGTACTGTAATGTTGAGATTATTAAAATTTGCCTAAAAATAAAATATTCAAACTATGTATCCAGTTTATGAACCTGTATTCCATAATATGAGTTTAGAAAGTAACATGTTGCAGCTGTGGTGATAGAAACACAAACAAATGGCATTATAGCAAACAGTTTCAGAGTAAATTTTACTTAAAGAAAGTATGACTGATGTCTTGGAAATGCTGCATTACTACATTGTGTAGCAGTTTGCATAGAGCAGCAATAGAATGAACTACTTTTTACTGTGGCATATAGTTTTAGATCAGTTAAATGATTCAGTAACTTACCAATGTGTTATATAATAGTTATACAAACAACAATTCAGTGTTTTTATAATGTAACCTCAAATAAAAAGAAATGCTGTTAACTACACTACAATAGAAAATAAATGTGTTATATCAGAGACAGTCACAGAATAAATAGTCACTAAATGATATAATTTAAAGACAACTGTGTAATTGTAAGTCATGTGGAAGATAGTACTGAACTGAGATACATGTACATAATGGTTGCAATGTATGATCTTAGAGGTCTTTTCCAATCTGAATGATTGGAAAAGAAAATTACATATTAGATGATTAGATATTAATACCGGCATTCATGGTAGCCCATTAGACTGAGATACATTTTTTCTGGATCTAAATTCCCTGTTAGGCGACAGACTGCAACTCTTTTGCTTTATTTTTATTACCTCTCCAACGCATCTATAGCCTGTCACCTAGTGATGTGCATTGCACAGTGCTGTAAGAGTAATAATCAATGAGTTCAGGCACAGACATTTTCTGCAGTTTTCACCTTAGGTCCAGCCTCTCCAGTTTTCTACCAATTTTCAGAAAGTTCACACACATACACATACACATAGACATGCACTCAAATCAGTATGCTCTCAGATGCTGAATACAGTAATCCTTATTTAGACAGATATATGGAATAAATATGTTCAACAATGGCCTATACAAAATCCAGATTTTACTTATTAAAGTAATTATTTATGCACACGTGAAAATGAGATATACAAGTATTGGATATATGCAGAATTCTTCAGAGAATTCTTAAAATGGCATACAGTTTGCATAACATATTTGTGTCTATACAAATCCTGATTTTCACATCAAACAGAAGGAAGAAAAATTTTTTAAGAAGTCTTTATTGCCATGCCAAAACCTTCATCTCCAAGGCCTTGTACAAAGCTGAACTAGTCAATTTGTAATTAAATCTTATAGGATACAGCAGTGATACTCATTACAGAAAAGGCATTTTATAGTCAGCAATCTTATTTTCAACTAACAGGATGACACAAAAGTCACAGTTCACAGAAGCTTTATGTCTGTTATTTCATGCTGGAATAATGCTGCACAAACCAATTAGCCAGTGTAATAGTGTCAAGATGTATTTAAAGAAAAAAATGGATCTGGGAAAATGCCTCTGCCTTTCTCATATTTATAAGGACCTGTGTATTACCAAGACAATAGCTTTACATTTGAAGGGCCAGCCTTTTGGGGTACTAAGAAATAAATCTCATAAGGCACTTAGACTACATATAATTAGTATAGGATGGTATAACTCCCATTTCACAATTTTTTTTTACAGTTGGAAACCAAAACTGAATTAATAAACCAAAACTGAATAAAAATTATTAAAATTAAAGCCCTTCAGTTAATGCATCCATTAAGGTGCATGGAATGAGAGAATACAATGGTTTTAGCAGACAGCCGAATTAAGGCAGCAATGCACTGGTGTTAGTCTGAAGGTTTTTCACATCCATAAATGCTTATAAGCATGGCCTATTTTTAGGGTTTTTTTGTCTTTTTGCTTGAAAGAAAACTCATTCAGGAATATTACAGAAAAAGGAGGGGAAATGGGAGAGAAGGAAGATTAAAGGACTAATGAAAGATTTAAAGGGAGATGAATTTACTACCTTAAATTAAGCACAAAGTTCTGATTCCCCGAAAACTTCTTTCAGCAGATTCTTGTAGATTTCCAGGTAACTGAGATCTGTATAAAGTTTTACAGAGGAGTGTTGAATGTTTGTACAGCACATCTATTATTCAGATCTGTGAATAAGGATGCCACTGGATTCTCAGAAACCGACCGATTCATGCAAGTTCTACTAAAATGAAATTATAAAATTCAGTCCCATTTTTAAATGGCAAGTGAATTTCAAAAATAATAAAACTAAATAAACAAAATGTGTCAGAAACCGTCACATGGCAAATCTTCGTCCTGTGACTACATGACTTTTCTAGGAAGATGTAAAGAACTTCATAGTGCTGCATCTCCGTAAGCAACATCAGCAACTGGAAGTATGAATGGAAAAAAATATTTCATCCCAGATCCTGATTACTAGCTTCTCTCTTTTTGGTCAGTGTGGAGGACAATTTCAGTCTAAATCTGTAGATAAACCTCATTTGGATATTCACTTTGCCTCTCACTTCTTTTATCATGACAAGGAATTTACTTTAGACTTTTATCGAAATATCAACATATTTACATGGCAATTTCTAATTATATTCTGCTATGATGGAGCAGTGACACTTTTTCCTCTTTTAAATATTCAGTACTGTTTTAATTGGTTGAGCATTTCAGTTTCACATTTAAGCAAAGCAGTAATTTTTTATATATTCAAAAGGGACAGCCAGGTATATTTGTGAACACTAAAGGATGTTAGTGTTCACAGGATAACATAGGCCAAAAAACCAAGACAACTGTAGAAATGAAAAAAGTTAAAGCTGTTTTCAAACATGGAATTATGGAGGAGCAATTCTACTTCATTCAGTAGGAGGTATATACCTTCATCTCTTTATTTTCTTTAGAAAGAAATGAAACAACCAGGCTTAAAGAAATAAAATAAATGGAAATATTGCTGTAGAATTGCCAGATAGCCCATCTTTCTGATAGTTTATGGACCAAAAGAAGAAAATGGAAATTAGTCAGTGAAATACGAATTTCTACAACTGGCACTCTAACTGTAATTTTCTAGATTACTGCTGAGGTTCTAAAGAGCTAAGAAAATCAGGTACATTTTTTTTCATTAAGTAGCAATGTAGTTAGAACAGACAAACTTCCTTTCCCTTGTGCCCAGTTTTCTTTTACTTTTCACGCATTACATAGAAAAGAACACATATGGGATAAGAAAATTAAAAAAATCCAAAACAATCAAATGAATGACACAAGCACTGAAATAATATCTATGGTATTTAGGTGACATTTTCCATTGTATGTACATTATATGTACATTAAAAATGTACATAAAATTGTTAGCCAAATATTTTCATCTTAAAAGGAAAAACATTGTACTGTGTACGGATTTTTTGGTATGTAGCAAGTTTAACATCCTTAGCATTACATGCTCAGAAGTCAACTAACACAGAATGTGTTACGTTTCTAAAGCAGAAAAAATGTTGGCTTTTCATGAGATGCTGTTTCCTGTTCAGTATTTGAAACTCATGCTTGATTTGCAAGTGTTTAACTAATTTCTCTTTTGTGTTCTTAAAAAAGAATTATGAATTTACAATTTTAAAAGAATTATGTCTCTTAAATGCTTTTAAATGCTGTATTTGTCACCACTGCTTATTAGATAGACACAAAACATTCAAGGTCATAATTTGACTTACAGATTTTTCATTTAAAATACTGTGAATTCTAAATGATTGATCTAATGAGCTGTCTTTCATAAAGCCTTAGTAAGTACTAATATAATAAAAATTTCATTTTACAGTGGAAGTGGTGGGGAAGGAGATACAGGAATAATTTTTAATCCATGCAGTATAAAGTCTGTCATTTGGTCTACAATAAGCTGTCCTTCATCCTGGTATAGAACATTCACTTCTCAACTGAAAATAATGAACTGATTTCTGGACATATTTGACTGCAATAAAGACTGAGAGTAAAAAAATTGTAATATACCAGAAATATTGTTCTTATGTTATAGTTTACATGTCCTTTATTGCATTCATTTCATACCACAAGTTGGGAAGAGGCAGCAAAATATAACAAAGCATCTTTCTAAAACTCTGTCCTAGTTATAGGGAAAGGAGACAGGGTTTAGCACTAGATGGGTGTGACCAATTATGTATTCTATCCCATTTCAACATTTTTGATGGACTATCTCTTTAAGCACAGGAGTCAGAACTGTTTCTGTTGGCAGTTTCTACTTCGGTTGTTACTGTAGCCACCACTCCTGCCAACCCAGAGGGGAAAGATCCTACCAAGAGAGAAGGGCCCACCCTGCCACAAGCTGCTTCAGGTGTTTTTCTTTCTCTAAGCAGTTTTTGCCACGGCCGCAGACTGGCACCATTACTTTTTGCACTGCCTGTTGCCTTTGGCTCACACCACAGACCGAGCGAGAGCCTGCAGTCTGCTGCTGCTGGCTGGTCTCTCACCACATACGGAAAGTAAGTTGCAACAAAAATATAGGTAGGGTCAATGTGACCTTTATCCATTGAAAATGTGCTGATTGACTTTTAGAAAAAATGCATTATTTTAAAATTAAAGGTTATTCACTTTCAGGATCAGGAGTTCTAGAAGATTTTAGGGCAGTCTTAGGCTTGAATACACCTACACAAAAATATGCCCTAGATTTATCTCTGTTGTTAAACAGCACATTCCCCTGACTCCAAAAAGAGGATCTAGTGACAAAGAAAGAAATTTAATCTATCTTTAATATATAATAATTTCAACAAAAAACATTGCTAGCAGATACTGAAAGACTCGTTAGGAATCTTGACACAATATTTAGTTGCTTTTCAGTGGCTATATCAGTTGGAGACATAAACTATCCATTGAATGACTGTTATCTCTCTACATGATATTAAAAAAAAATTCAGCTTTTCCCAAATAATATTAAAAAACCATAATCTAGCGTAAAATCTCTTAATTAGTTGGAGGTTTCAGCTGCAAAATTCTTGATAGAAATAGATGTATGACTACTGTTTCATCAGGTAGCATGGTCTTGACGACCCCTGAATGTGACTGGCTCCTAGTGGAAAGCAATTTAATGCTCTACTGCACATAGAATAGTATATATGAATGAAAAAAGAATCCCCAAAATAAACAAAAAAAATCTCCCACCAAAACAATTACTGACAGGTACACCTGAATAGGACTGCTTATTAGTCACTTGTCTGTAGCCAGGCAAGATTGTTTCACCTCAGTTTAAAAGATAAAGACTCACGGCAGGCTGTCTCTGCAAGTTCTCATTAGGCAAACAGCCTCCACTGTCCATTAGAGGAAAAGTCTCCCTATTATTTAAGGAAATGTGACAGCAATGGAGGTGAAGTGATGGCAGGAAATTCATCCGTGCATTACTAAGCTTTTTGCTTTCTACAACTTTCACCGGCCTCTTTCCACTGTTTTATCTGACAGCTCAAATGCTGCAGGGTTGTAGTCACGGCAAAGGTCAAGAACAACAGCAGGGCTATAAAATGAGATTCTTTCAGGGGGGAGGCTTCCAAGCACAAACAAGTTTATTGAGCACAAGACAATGAGATGAGACCTCACATCTCAACAAATTTATCTAAGTAGCTACCATTATTTTGGAAAAAACATTAAGAACCTTAAAAAAGATTTAGAACTTTTACATACTCTTGCTGTGTATACAAATGTGTTTTACTAAAGACTAATTTAATTGAGCATGATGCTCAACTAAAAAATAAACAGAAAATGCCTTCTTCCTTTAATAAAGACAAGGTTTGCAATGCTACAAATGTCAAGTTTAAAGCTAAGCTAAGAGTTTTGCTATGTCTTTAATGTTTCATAATCAGTGGTAACAATAAGGTGAATTTGAATTACCTTTCACAATGTCCAATAGTACTCTTATCTAGTCAAGGAACAGGTTCAGTGTCTGAATAAAAAAGCCACAACTGAAATTTCTGCTAAAACAAAGAAGACGAAGATGGTATCTTAGCTTCCTATTCTGTCAAAACGTTGATTTTTACACATACACATATTCAGTGTGTGCAAGGAAAAAAAGAATTTAAAAAAGCATGATATAGTCTCTGCATGCAAATTCATTCAGATATGATTTTGACAATAGACCAAAAACTGACTATTGTCAGCATCTGACTACTATTATAATGCAGACATTACATAAAAACATACTCAAAAGCAAGTCACCCATTAAACGTTATTAGGCTAAAACACCAGTGGTTTCAGATATATGCACAATTGATCAACATTTTGCATTCTCCAGATCGTATATTAAAACATTTAATTCAAGCAAGAATAGTTGTAGCGGATTGACCATGGTGGGATAAATAATTTTTATTCTTAAAGTGGTTATATGTGATTAATTTTTCCAACTAGTCCCCACTCATGCAGATAACTGTACAATATGTTTCTGGATGAGATAAATATCATGTTTAGAGACCTAGGATTCTTCTGATTTTCATTTTTAGGTTTCATACTTATATTCAAGACTAGATGAGATGTTTAAATTGAGAAGCTTGGAGGAAAAATTACGTATGTTCTGTTTTGAACATTCGTCTGTGTTGTTTTGTATTGTTATTCAGAACATCTAAGGAAGTACATGCTATTATTCTATCTTTATTCTACATTCAGACCATAGTAATAATAATAATAATAATAATAATAATAATAATAATAAACATTTTTAAAGAAAGTCTCAATAAGTGATATCTAGAGTGGTATAGTGAAGAAAAAAGTGCTGTATCATTATCTAAGGTTGCTGTAAGAACAATATATAGAGTAACCAAATCTAACTAGAGATAAATATAAAAGATATAACATATTAAATAGAAAGTATTTCTATCTCTAGAATAATTTGTATTATTCAAAATCCAGGAAGGAGAGAAGTTCCACTTTGTGTCAAAGAAGATTTCACACACAGAATTTCGTAAAATGCTTAACAGTATATTGGTAATTTTTCATATTGATAATTCTAAAAATACTAAAAAATCCCAGAAGATACAAAATCATACAAAATATTACCTGTTCATGTTGTCCATATGAATCCAGATATAAAACTAGTTAAAATATTTTAAATGTGTTTATAAATATTTCAGTGATAACATTTTTTCTTTTCCATGCAGAAATTAATGTCTTTGAATAAGTAATGCCAGGCTATGGCTAAGACTCCATGAAAAACATTTTCCTAGGTTGCAAAACATAGAAAAGAGATATGAAATTGAGATCATTGGCTGAAAAATCAACTTCTTGGTTATCTGGTTTGAGAACCAAGGCACAATTGATTTCTAGTAAGACCCTCAGCTTTACTGTGGACCTTGATAGGAAAAAATAAATAAATGCTTAAAAACATGAACCGAAACTTTTCCAATTAAATTCGGTGTGCTTATTACACATACAGTTTAGAGTGAAGAAAACACATATCAGAATGAATCCTCAGCAACAGTGTAATTGCTGTGTGTTTTGCAGCAAAATTCTCTCCATTCTAGAGTCTACAAAAGGAGGGTTCCCATCTTGTCTCATTCTTAAACATATCCCAAATAAAAGTAAAAAATGTAGTTACTGCAAAGGCAATAATAAAAGAATAATACAACCTGCTAGACTTTTAAAAATAGAAGTACATTTTGATAATAGGGATGTAAGTCATCCTTCCCCTTTAGCACTGCCTGTTGTGAGACAGTTTTGTTTGTGACCAGAAGTCAGACCCACGTGTCCCATTTTGCTTCAGCTACTCAACACAGCAGAAGTATTCATCCTGCTTCAGTGCACACTGCAGCCTATCATTGAACAATTAGGCATAAAAGATATCTGTAGAAGACTGGAGGTGCAAAACATAAGCACAATTTAGATTTTCTCTGTATATCACCAGTTCAGTAAAAATGCTTAGATTGTGTGTTATAGGCACTTACATAATTATGTTACAATATTTACATAAATTATATCCAAAGTAGTCATATGATCCAATACTTATCCGATGGGTCGACCTTGCCAGGTGATGACCCAGCTGCTCTTTCACTTCCCTTGCTCAACAGGAAATGCTCATAAGTCGACAAAACAATAGGGAGCCCGCTCATCCATTACCATCATGGGCAAAACAGACTCAATTTGGAGAAAATTAGTTTGATGTATTGTCAATTAAAAAAAGACTATGATGGTGAGAAACAAAGCAAAGGCTAAAATACCTTCATCCTCAAATTCCCTCAACTTCAACTTCAACTGTTCAACTTCAGTCTGTCATTCCCAGCTCTTCTACCCACCCCATGTCCCCAAGCAGTGCAAGAGGAAGATGAGTGGGGGATCAGTCCACAACAGCTCCCCTCTGCCTCTCCATTCTCCTCACACTTTTCCTCTGCTCTGGCACGGGGTCCTCCATAGGCTGCAGCATGGATATCTGCACCATCATCTCCCTCTTTCACAGGCTGCTGGAGAATCCCTGCTCTGGAGCCTGGAGCACCTCCTGCCCCTGCTTCTTCACCAACCTTGGTGTTCACAGGGCTGTTTCTCATGTCTTTTTCCCCCATTCCACTCTCAATGTGGCATTTTGCCCTTTCTAAAGTCTGTTTTCCCAGAGGCACCTCCACCTCGGCTGCAGGCACAGCTGTGCCCCGTGGTGGGTGCACTGGAGCCGAATGGATCCAACTGGGACAGGTCCGCGGCAGCCACAGCCTCTTCTCACAAAGGAACCTGCTGCCAGCATCAGTCCTGTTCAGCCATATAAACACATCCTTATCTTTTTTATTTAGCTTGTGTCATCAAAGATACGTCTTATACACAGGAAAACTAGAGTGAAGTGGAAATTGAGATCAGATTTTAAAAATTTGCATCACTGTGCTGCATAAGGTAAATGCACGTAGTTTTCCCTTTTCATCTAAAGAACTTTATTATGTCAAAAAATTTGGACTCTTTCCTTCTCTCCTTGCTGCATAATTAATTCTGTCTGCTTTTATAATTTCTTTCACACTTCATATACCAAACTTCCTGTTGTTCCTTTACAGCTGATTTTCTGATTTAACATATTTGAGGAACTGAAGCAGCAGTATATATGATAAAACTGAGTAAAAGCATTAATTGAGCTCAGACATTAGTAACATGGATAGTGTCTCATCTGAGGCTGTCAGAAATATCATGCGTCCAGGTATTTCCAAACTAGAAAAATATTTTCAATCAAAAATACTGGTCAGTGTAAAGACAATTCTAGTTTCAAAAGCATCTTTTCACCTTTAAAGTCAAATTTTCACAGAATTTGCATAGAATTCTTCCTTTATATTGCCCACAACTCCATATTCAATCCAGTTTTCCATACTGCCAACCTGCTTCATATCAGCTTCAGTTAATTGTTCATGTCTACCTCCAGGCTGAATGCAAGCCTGAATGCACCCCACATCTTGAAGATAACCCTTTCTGGTATCTTATTTTACTGATGCAATTAGTTATCCTTCTCAATATATCCACTGACATAAAAAGCAAAATTATAAATATAACAAATAAAATGCCTGCAAACTTTGTCAGCCCCAGTGACGGGAAAAATATACCTAAAACTCTAATACTGAGAATTTACATCTTAATTTCTTATGAGCACTACTATGCAGTAGAGAAGCATTTACAACTTGTACAGATGTGTCATTGTAAGGACAGAAAGTGCTTTTTTTATTAAATAAGAAAAAAAACATAGTAGTATTTACAATATTATGCTTTTGTGATTAATATTGAAAGCATGACTAACTGTAATACACACTGTAGCAAAAGATTAATTCAAACTTAAAATTCAGTCAGAAAATAGTATTTAGGTAAAAATTATAACTCAAAGAGTAAATCATCATTAAAGTGACAACAAATGATAAGATATAGTGAGGTAATTCTTCAGCGATTTTAACATGACTGATACAAGGAAATAAAAAATATACCTCAATTATATAAAGAACTAATATTTGTGGTGAAACTGACCCTATTTGAAGAAGCTTTAGTACAATTTGTAGAATAAATTAAAGATGGCAGAGTCATGAAATACCTAAGTTCTAGCAATTTCTTAGAGGTACCACAACTTTTTATGATTGTTAAATATTTAACTATATTTGTGGCAATAGCATCAATCATAAAAATTCAGTCTGGTATTTTTGCAAATATATAATAGCTGTTATCATAGTTATTTGCCATTTTCTGCTAACTATTAAAAATTAATTTCAGATAAGGGTTGTATGAAATGCATAATTATACATAAACCAAGATGAAATCTAACTTCAATGAATTTAAGGTATTGCAGGAAGTCAGTAAAAACCTCTGCTTAACGGTACTCCATTCTATACCTAGGAAGAAGACTTTTAGCTTTCTTTTATAAATAAAAGCATAACTTTATAACTGAAATAAATAAATTAGATAAAATAAATAAATAAATACTTAAAAATAAATAAAACACCCCCCTAAAAATATATATTTAGAGTTTAAAGGAACTCAACTCAATTCTGTGTAGTCGGAAAAGTATTGTAGTGAGAAGTACTTCATCTGTGGAAAAAAAGCCAATGAGCTGGATTTATTTTTTTTCAATGGATCTATATCAGGAAGTACCAAGAACATAATGTTGAGTAACTTTGATAGTTTATTGAAAAACTGCATGAGCTAATAATCCATGGCTGCATGACAATGTCAGTGTCAGTGATAAGTGAACACAGCTTGCTATGATACATGCTGTATCCATCTGCAAGTGAGAGTTGCCTCATGGAACTTTTTTAATATCAACTAAACAGCTGTTCATATTTCAATTTCAGAGCTCTGACCTATGGATAAGCATACTAGAAGGCTGTGACAACAGATGAAATTTAAGCTTTATGATGATGTTATTCCGATATTATGACAACATGTCTCAGAGAACAAAAACAACACCCCAAATTTGTGCACATGTATATGTTAAGAAACATTACTGTGTCCTCTATCTTTAATACCATTGCAAGTATCTTGTAAAATCTTGAAAGCACTAAAAAGGAGTCAGAAGAAGGTGTTGAAGGTGTGAAGAAGGATAACTAGATTTCTCATTTACATGAAGTAAATTCTAATATAAATTTAAAACATCTCAATGTCAAGGTTCAAAAATAGATGAGACAATTTCAAGACATAAAAACAAAAAGCAGCAAATTAGTTAAACTACATAACTTTTAATGTCTCAGGCAACTTATTCTTCTGTTATTTTATAAGAAAGATACTTCATCTTCAGGTAAAACTATACAGTCAGCCAGAGTGATACTTGTCACATCAACTTTTTATTCTTCCACATCTGAATATATGATTGGAAAGAATGACTGAAGAATAGCTTTTCTCACACAGGAAAGTAGATGAAATATAGACATTCCTCTCCTGATTTCATTGTTAGAATTTGAAAGACATAGAGCAGAACAATGGCTGTTCATTTTTGCTAAAATCATGGCTCAAAGATAGATTGGCCTAATCATTTTAATCCAATGACAAGAAACTTGATAGTCTTAAAAGGATGAGAGAAATTACTTCTGGCTGAAGATAGCAAAGTGGGTGGATCAGCCTAACAATAGTTATCACAGTTCTTTCCTTAAACTATCTGTAAAAAAATATCATTTTTTATGGAAGGCTGTAACAATCCAATAACTACGAAAAATACTTTTTCTTGACTATATTAAATAATAGAGATTTATTAAGAATATCAGAGAACTCCCTAATGTTCCAATAATATCAGTGACCGCCTAGGAAGTTTTAATTCTTATGTACCCACTAGAACATTCACAAATATACAGTGATCTTCTTATTTAATATTATGCACAATAGGGATTAGATAGTCTCTTCCTAAAAGTTTGAAACACAATCCTGATACTGTGTCTATTTTCACAAGTAGTGGATGATTACAAATGGTCAAAGCAATGAAGACCCTACAGCTAAATTATGTTCACTTGGATGGGAAGATTTTTATGGTGCTATAGTTAGTTTGACCATCTGGACTAAATACAATCCATGCCAAAATCCCACAAGGGCCGAGAGCTCTCTCCAGGCTGGTGACAGTGGAGGCAACCCATGGTGGGAAACAGGACAGGTTCTGGCAGACACACTTTCCCAATCAGGAACTGGGCAGCCAGAGGGCACTGTGGCAGTCTCAGCACCTGCACTGGGCAGCTCCTTAGAGAGGGTAAGGATCTGACCTAGTGAGGGGAACCAGTGCCTGATACAACCCTGGAGTGACTGTACAGATCTGTGGAGATGGACTCAGGACGTCAGCCCACAGATGGAGTGGTATGAAACACCTTTTCTCACAACCACAGATAAAACTACACTTGAACCTTTGGTGAGCCCAGTAGAGAGAAGCCGGAAAAGAAAGAATTAAAAAAAATGAAAAATACAAAAAAAATAAAATTATAGTATCTCAATAACAAGATACAGTAAGCAAGGAAAAGACAAGAAGAACAGGAAATTATATCAAGACAAGAAAAAAACCCTCTGTGGAAGACAAAGAATTTAGCTGTAAAACCTGAGGGCTGGTGACTGACAAATTAGTTTTGTCTTCATATAGAGCATTTCAAATATGATGAGAGTTCTCAGTGTTTTGAAAACTTTCTTTTTGTATGAGTGCTTGGTAGGCACTGAAGTAAATGGTACAACCTCTGTATTTTCAATTCTTCTATCTGCCCTACAAGAAAGAACAGGGTGCTCTGCTGGAATGGATTTTCCAGTTTATTTTAGTCTGAAAGTAATCTTGCTTATTATATACTTTGTAGTCGAAACCAAACACAATAAATAAGAAGGTTCGAGAGGTTTATTTCAGAAGTACGTTACTGCTCCAAACTAAAATGTTAATGAAGATTCATCTTCTGTCAAATTTTAACTTTGGGAAAACTAGAATTAGTACTAGACAACACTCCCATCAACATCACTTTTCTCTGCTTTTCTGTTGTAGGGCAGTCCCTAGAGAAGCTATGAACTGTCATCATCTCGTAAAAGCATGGAATTTACGAACTGTATTCAAATACTGGCAACACATACTGGCTCAAAGTCATGAAATTTGGAGAGCACAAGCAAAGCATATTCAAAAGGAACAGACCCTAATATCAGATGCTGTAAAAGTGCAGAATGAGACAAATACAAAGGGACGTAAAATATCTCAGACACATTAAAGAAGAAACAATTGATCAACCAGATAGGAAAACTGCAAAATCAACACAATAAATGCAGTAACTTTAAAATAAGCTAACTCATCCACATAATGAGATATGCTTTCTACTCTTCCTACTTTCCACCTTTGCTATTATTTAGTTTAATGTCAGCAGTATATTATTTATGAATATGCCATTATGAGGCAGCATACATAATTCTATTGTTAGATACTAAAACAATGAAGAAAAATTACTGTTTTCCACTTCCCTACTTTTTCTCTCAACTCCCTGGTAACAGAACAAAACTTCAATCAGGATAGTAATTTAAAAAAATATCAGTTAGTAAAACCAAAACCATGAATCTATAAACCTAGTAGTCATAAAACTACAGACAATTATTTTTAGTGATCCGGTATGACAAAAAAACCCACTCTCTATACTCTATATCAATTTAGAAAAATGTGTAGCTAGCTGAACGTGAGACATATTTGTTTTCCTGAAAATATTAGGCAGTTATCTAAGAAAGTAGAGACACAGTACTCCTTCCTAGTAAATTAAATTTTCTGACCTCAGCAAAACAAGACCACACACAGATATATACATTCTTATTAAAAATTAGACAAAAACTCATAAATAACAGTGTGGACTTTTTGAATATGTAATTCCCAAAGATCTTTTAGAGAAATTATATCTTGAAAAACCATATACTATTTAAATTCTTGTGGTTACTTTACTTCAGTTTCTGACTGCAAATGGTCTGTTCTGTTCCTCTGTCCAACAGTTCAGTGTATTTTATATTTTGTTTGAGAGATGGCCGCATTTTAGAACTGGATTAAATAATAACCAATATTCTACTTTACGTAAATTTGAAAAATACTTTGCAATGAAAAGTATTTCACATTTTAACATGTGAAATGATACACAGGTCATTGTCTAAAATGAGTTTGTCTTTTGGAAGACAAAAGATATTAAAAGAATTGGGGATGGTGTTATGTATTTCCTTACCAGAAACAGAAAGCAGGACATACTTTTTGTCACTGTCTGGTTATCATTATTCCTGGTTATTTCCAATGACCCTCTAATTTATTAGTTGTGAAGAATAACAAAAACTTAAACATAATTTAAAAAGGTAACGTAGATTGAAGTCTGATCCACAAGGGTCTGTTTTACTTCACTACCAATATAGGTAAAAATCTATTTTTACATGGAACACAATCCTTACAACAAGTCTTGATATCCGGAAGGGAACAATAGTGGCAGTCTGTGATTCCTGTTGCATCTCTGAGGATCTTTAGAAGTCTTATCATTGTAATTTCAGTTAATTACTTCTTGACTAACTCTGTCAAATTAAGTAATAGCAAAATTCCTGGTTTATATGTTAGGAAAAGAGTTATCCATATCATGGTAAAATCTGATACAATATCTGATTATTTTTTTTTTTGAATCTAAAAAAAATATTTCCTTTATTGCTTAGCTGTAAAATTCAGGTAATTTTTATAATACAGGGATTATATGTAGCCATATGTATTACCTGTTCATTTACAGTACTTTTTTTTCTGTTCAATTTTCCAGTGGCCAAAGTAGTATGTAATTTTAGAAATACTACTGAGCAAATTATTTCAACTAGTTGTATAGAGAGGGAGAAGTGAAAAATGTCAATTAAAATACTTGTATAGATACCAAGAAATTTTGCAACTCATAAAAATGTTCAACTTAATATATATCTATATTTAGAGACACTACAAACACTCTGATGCTAAGTATTTTATTTTGTCCATTACTAAACTAGACATCTGTCCTTTTCTGATATTTGGAATTGGTTTCCATTTTTAATTTAGTTTTAATATTTAGAATGTGTTAGTTATATTTAGATCACAAATAAATAAACCACAATATACACATACTATTTTTCTGTTCTTCCCCAGAACTGTCAGCAAATTGATAGATATAAGCAGAACTAGCCTCAAAAATTCAAGAAGAACATCTGCAGAGCACGTGCTCTGAAATTATTTTAAGAGATATTCACTTTTTTGAGATTGAGTTTTGCTTTCCAAGTAAGGGAATGCCTGCTTTGCAGCCTGGGGTTAACCACCTCTGTAGAGAAACTCTTGTGCTTAATGTTTCTCATTAATTAACTCCAGGCATACCCTAATGGGAATATTAGGTACATAGACTCCCATTAGTCAACAGAGCAAGGTAGAGTATTTTGTCTTCAAATTGTTTTGCAAAGGAGTGTACTTCTCTTCACAGAGAAAGGTTACTGCCTGCCTACAAAGGACATCTGCTTGATAACAGAGTATACAGCTCCCTAATGTCCAACTTTTGAAGCCTCAAATAGAATATAGCTTCCTTTATAATTATGAAAATTGAGAAAAGGTATATTTTCATATTCAATTGACTGTACTTTTCAGAAACATCAAAAATCTTTTTAAACAAATCAAATTCATTTTTCAAGGGTGGTGGATACAAATTTCTGGACAGCCAATCCCAGTCAAATTTACTTGTAGGCTTTCAGCTAAGTTGATGGAACATACAGATTTGTCTACATTATAAACAAAATGTTCAGAATCCACAAAAATTATCTAAACAAGAATTACAGATAATAAGAGAAAATATGTGCAGGTAATTCAAAGATGATGACTGTATTTCTGTATATAATTGGTATATTTTCAAAAAATTGTCAAAGTTCTGAAAGGCAAATGTTGTTAGTTTTAATTCTGTATAATCAGCCTTTTGAATTCTGTATTCAGATCCTAGATGAAGAATATTCTTAAATCTCCAAGTTTACTGCACATGCAGAGAAAATAGCACATCTCACACAACCAATAAAAATGCCATGGATTTATTTATGCATATAGACACAGATTATTAAATATAATTATCTATCTAGCCATCAGCTTCATCTAACATAGTTCCAACATTTTAATTGGAATTAAGACTCATGAGACTGTGCCTTATTGATTCATTAACAACTGCATCAAGTGTACTGTCAAGCATAAGGCTAAAGTTTGCATACTTCAAGCCTCCGGAGAGATTTATTAATAAATCACTTCTAAAAAACTCAGTGTAGGTCATTATTACAATATGGCATAGAATTATTACATATGGCTTATAAAAATAACACAACAACATCTTTGGAAAATTTTCCAATTGTTGAAAACAACTCTCAAGGGAGGAAGTTGACAAGTTATATAAAAAGACAGATGACACAGAGACCAGGAGCTGAGTGGCTGAGACTTTCTTGCACTTAGACTGTGAGGGTACAAAACCTATTGGTTCCTTTGTTTGGGGTCCCTCCTAAGAGGCACCCAGCTCAAGATTTTATTTTGTTTCTTAGTTATTGCAACAGCCTGTCAATATTTCAATCTGTTAAGCAAATACTGACATTCACCATTGGCTAACTTGAAAAATTAAAGACAACACCATTTTTCTCTGCTTTTGTGGGAATTTTCTAATATCCCATTAACAAGCTAACACCTACTGAATGCCAAAAGGTCAGACTTAATAATTTCAGGTTCCTGCCTACAGTTCCTTTGTGCCTTTTTCCTTTCACATGTGCCAACCATATGCTCACTTAATGAACCCCTTCTTTACCTTATCTCACCTGGACTTTGTCTCACTGTTTTGAATCCAAGACTTCTGCTTGACATTTCCTTCACTGTTTCATTATTTTTATCCAATATTCTCCCAAATTATCTTAGCTTTCATTTTTCTTTCCAACAGAAAAAAGCTTTAGAGAATACTGTATACAATGCATGAATTAATGCAACAAACACACTTTGTAGAAGAGATATCTTGAGTTAGTTACCTTTCAGTAGACTATTACTTATCTGTTAATGCTGCCTTTTACACTGTACCCAATGCCATTTTACAGGAAAGCCATTTCCCTCACTGATTTGACAAACCAGTCTTCAAACAATGCTTTTAATTACTCTGTTTGAAAGAACAAAAATTAAAGTTTCTTTATGCTCTAACGTTGTAGAAGCAACACAATGAATAGTAAAAGAAGAGCAAAATCATTGAAACACTGTTTATTTAAAGAGGTAACTATACAGCTAACATGAGTCATTTTATATTAGTAATTGTAAAATGTCCCTGAGTAACACATTTTGAAACTCGCATCTTAAGTTACTATGCAATGATTTCTCTTGTTGACATGCCCCAATTTCATATCTTTGCTTAGGGAGAGGTCCAGGGTTTTCTTTGCTTTTTTTTGCCCTAACATTGACAGTTACCTCAAGAATGATAGTTCAGTGGAAAAAGCACGTTAACTCATTTCTGTGTCTGGAAGAACGAAAAAGTATTTATACACCTAGACCCTTTTTGTTGTTTCCTATAATCTTGGTACTTTTACCCCAGCAGACCTCTGTTAATCAGACACAACACCCACGTGGATAACGCATCCAAGTTCTCTCTCCATGGCATCCTAAGTGTAAAAAGTAGGATACCGTGAGTACAGTTTTCTTGTTGCAAAGTGAGAATGGCAGCCAGCATATGTTCACTTAGCTCATGTAAAATGAAAGTTAGAGAAGAAAAAACTAAAACTACAACCAGTTACAGGATTTATGATTATTTCTCATTCCCCAGTTGAAAAATGTCATGACTGGTATTTTCCTCCTTGACATTAATTTTTTATGAATACAAAATTTTATAAAACATTTGTTAAGAAGAGATTAAGGGAGTCAAGCATATTATTTTAGGTACTGTTTTAAGGACCTTAAATTATCAAAGACATTCATATTAGGCTGGACATATGACATCCACAGAAGATTTCTATTCTTCAGTAAGAACTAATGGAGTTCAGACCAGGCAAGGCATTTAAGATGTTGCTAGATATCTACATTCAGTCATGAATATTGCACTCAGTGTCTCATGAATCAGAGGTCATAGTCACAGTAGGTTGTGAATATGTGTTCCTATAAAATTGAAGTTTTAAAAAAAATTGATCTCCATTTATTATTTTTTGAGGTAAACCTAAGGGAACATTCTGGTCACATATATCATTTTACTCCACGCTCTAATTCTTATGTGCGCAATTATTATTTAATATAAACAAATATTCTTATAATTGAAGCATGTTACTTAAGTCACTGAATATAGTACTTT